GTGCTTCACTTTCATCAAAATAAACACTGCGGCTTACTGTGACCTTGTTGGTCTTTGGACAAAGGATTCTATATCCCTTACTCTGCTCACTGTAGCCCACCAGAATGCCTTCTATAGCTTTGTTCTCCAACTTGGAGCGTTTCTGACTTGGAATGTGGGCATATGCTTTACAACCAAACACTCTGATGTGTCCTACGTTAGGTTTTGATCCATTCCACATTTCATATGGTGTACTCTCAATAGCTTTTGATGGGAGCCTGTTTTGTAGGTATGTTGCAGTCATTATTGCTTCTCCCCAGTATTTGTTAGGTAAGGTAGCGTCCGTAATCATACATCTTGTCATTTCTACAAGAGTGCGATTCTTTCTTTCAGCTACGCCGTTTTGCTCAGGAGTGTATGGTACAGTTGTTTGGTGTATAATACCTTGTTTCTTTAGGTATGATTCCATCTCTTTATTCATATATTCCCCTCCATTGTCAGTGCGTATTATTCCAGGTTTCCTTTGAAACTTGTTGCTTGTCATAGCTACAAACTCTTGAAGTTTTTCTAATGTCTCACTTTTATGCTTCATTAGATACGTTATTGTGTACCGGGAATAGTCATCGATGAAAGTCAGTAAATATCTGTTCCCGCCAGGTGTGATGGTTTTCATTGGTCCGCACACATCACTGTGTATCAGTTCCATGGGTTTAATGGTTTTACTCTGACTGGTCTGTGGAAGAGGGGTTCAGGTGGCCTTTGCTTTGATGCAACACGTGCACTTGCTGAGTGTGTGGCAAGGCAATATTTTCATGTCTTCTGATAGACTTCTCTTTGCAAAGTCCTTTATAGCTTCTGGGTTTCGATGCCCCAATCTTCTATGCCATAGGTGGATGCACTTGTCATGCGGGTTATGAGTTGCCGCATTAGCCTTCTCACTTTCAGTGACAAGTTTGTACAGATGTTCATGTAACCTTCCTCTTGCTAAAATTTGCTTTCCATTTTGAATTGTGCATTCATCACCTCTGAACTGGACAGTGACTCCATTGCTTGCAAGGGTTTTAACTGATAGGAGGCTTCCTTCTAGGCTTGGAACATATAGAACATTCTTTACAAGGATGCTCTGCTTGCCCCCTGATGGCGTTTTGCAGTTCAGAAATCCCTGACCTTTACCTTCCGCTGTAATACTTTTCCCATTTGCTAGGAAGACTTTATCTTTTACACTAAAATCAATTTCTGTGAAGAATGTCTCGTCGCTTGTCATGTGACTTGTTGCCCCTGAATCCATGCATGTGAGGTACTATTCTGAGTCACTTTAAAAGTACCACTCCAGGATGCACTTTCATTTTCTTTCATGACCGCTTTAGCTCTTTCTCTTGTAGGTAGCTCCCGCTTTCGCTGCTCAGCTTTCCAGATTGAACAGTTCTTTTTCAGGTGACCGGCCTTTTTGCAGTGAAAACATACCCTGGTTTCTTTGCTTTGTCTTATGCCTTCATGCAACTTCAGAGCTGCCTCTGGTCTCTCGTTCTCTTCACTATGCAAATTTTCCTTTCTTCTGCTGTATTCATCAATTAATTTTCCCTTAACATATTCTAGTGTCAGTTCAGTTTCCGGTCTAGTTTCTAGAGCATTTATAAGGGCACTGTATGATTCTGGAAGGCTGCACAGAAGTATTGACAGAACATGGTTGCTTTTTAATTCTTCACCTATTGCACCCAGCTGGTCCACAATTTCTAGCATAGCATTTACATGTTCACCCATTTCCTGCCCTTTTTCCAGCCTCATCTTATACAGTTTGCGTAGTAGATATAGTTTACTGTTTAGGTTTGCACGTTCATGCAGTTTTTGTAACGCAGTCCACATACCTTTAGCTGTGCTTTCTTTCCTTATATGAATGAGTTGATCTTCCTCCACTAACAGGCTTATGACTGCTTTTGCTTGCCTGTTTTTTCTGTCCCATTCTTCCGGGTTGTCATTGGGTCTGTGTGTATCTAGTACCAGCCACAAGTCATCTTTGGATAACAGCATTTCAAGCTTAAACTTCCATAGCTGGTAGTTGCTATTGTTGAGCTTTGCTATTGTAAACTTCATATCTGAAGCACTTACCATCTTTCAGTGAATTGGTAAGATTGTAAATACAGCACTTACTTAATAAACCAATACTCTATAACTTCCCACTGAAAAGTCAAACTTTCACCCTTGAAAGTGCAAATAACAAAAACCTTTTCAACAATCCATACAGAACCCTCTCCCACAATCCCATATATATGTCCACACCTCAGTCCACAGTCCAAAAAAACCAAACCAAAATCCAAAAATAAGAAATAGCAATAATCCAAATGTGTCCAAAATCAAACCAAAATCCAAAAATAAGAGATAGCAATAATCCAAAAGTGTCCAAAATCTTCCTGCTCAATCCATGAGATCCTCAAAAAAACAAAATACAATATAGTGCATTATCCTTAATACATAATACTGTGAGTGATGTCATGCAATCACACTAGTGATAAACATAAATTAAATAAATAAATATAATTAAAAGGTGAAGCCACCTTATCACTGTGATCCTAGTGAAACAACACTGCAATCGTGAAAAAAATGTAACCACACAGTGTGATTCGTGCCACAGAAATCCGTGACAGTAGTGCCAAGAACAGTGCCACACTCTGTTTAGGGGATACAGTTGCAATTACCCTCTTGCTGTAAATCAGAAGACATTTAAGATTCCTTAATGCCACAAGGTAAATTTCCTACGAGGTGCGTCTTCCTCTCAGGAGTAAGCAATGGGGTCCCTTTTTCTTCATACGGTCATAAATCCCAAATACCGAGGTCCCCGTTCCTCGCGGGGAAATAGGAGCAGACTCAGTGGAGTAAAAGGTAATACACTTTTATTTAGTAAACTTAGATCCCTTGTGAAAAAGTCGGAAGTGACGAAACGCGTCAGAGTCGTGACATCAGACGCTGTAGCCGGAAGGAGCAGCGCGGCCATTTTTGAATCACTCACAACAGCGAACGGACGAGAGAGAGGATGGACGGTATATTCTAAAATGTAAGTTTACTAAATAAAAGTGTATTACCTTTTACTCCACTGAGTCTGCTCCTATTTCCCCGCGAGGAACGGGGACCTCGGTATTTGGGATTTATGACCGTATGAAGAAAAAGGGACCCCATTGCTTACTCCTGAGAGGAAGACGCACCTCGTAGGAAATTTACCTTGTGGCATTAAGGAATCTTAAATGTCTTCTGATTTACAGCAAGAGGGTAATTGCAACTGTATCCCCTAAACAGAGTGTGGCACTGTTCTTGGCACTACTGTCACGGATTTCTGTGGCACGAATCACACTGTGTGGTTACATTTTTTTCACGATTGCAGTGTTGTTTCACTAGGATCACATTGATAAGGTGGCTTCACCTTTTAATTATATTTATTTATTTAATTTATGTTTATCACTAGTGTGATTGCATGACATCACTCACAGTATTATGTATTAAGGATAATGCACTATATTGTATTTTGTTTTTTTGAGGATCTCATGGATTGAGCAGGAAGATTTTGGACACTTTTGGATTATTGCTATCTCTTATTTTTGGATTTTGGTTTGATTTTGGACACATTTGGATTATTGCTATTTCTTATTTTCGGATTTTGGTTTGGTTTTTTTGGACAGCACTTACTTGCTTGTAGTTTTCCTTTTTCCAGTGTCTGGAGCTGGGCCCATAACCTGTTGGTTATGTGTTAGAGAAGACACTGGTAGTGATAGCAGAATTCAGACTTTACTTGTGTGGCTTAAGTTACAAACATACAGAACACATTTCAGCAGACTTATTACTGACACATTACTTCCTGAAGATGATAGAGAAGAACAGGAAGAACCAGCAAGTATTACATATATACAACTAGTAACCTTTAGTGTACAGTGCCATCTACTGGTCAAGTGATATTAACACAGAATACTGTATATAGTACATTATAGTACATGCTGTTGCATTTCCAACACCCCCTCCCATTCATACCAAGCTCTTTGGGTCTGGTATGGATTTTAAGGGGAACCCCCACGTTAAAATTAAAAACAAATGGTATGAGGAATGTAAAAAAAATTGTTGGCATCAACTGAAATTTTTTTTTATTTTTTTTTTAAACGATGTAGGGTCCCCCCCCCCCCCATCCATACCAAGCCCTTCTGGTCTGATCTGGATTTTGAGGGGAACCCCCACGATAAAATGAAAAAAAAAAATGGCGTGAGGGTACCCCCCAAAATCCATACCAGACCCTTATCTGAGCATACAGCTCTGCAGGTCAGGATAAGGGGGGAGGAGTGAGCGCCCCCTCCTAAACCATATTAGGCCACATGCCCTCAAATAGGGGTGTGTGCTTGTTAATGGGTATAAGGGCCTCTTCCCCACAACCCTAGGCTGTGGTTGTGGGAGTCTACGGGTGGGGGGCTTATCGGAAACTGGAAGCCCCCTTTTACTAGATACCCCTTAGATCCCAGCCCCAATCATGTGAATGAGTATGCTACCCATTCACAAAAAAAGTGTAGTGTAAAAACGACAGGAGGCAGTCTCTGACAAGTCCTTCATTAAATATAAACATTAAAAAAATGTCCCCCGAAGTGGATCCAGCGTCACTCCTGATAATACTATACACTGTCACTGCACTAATGACACCGGCTAGGAAGGGGTTAACATCCAGGGTGATCAAGGGGTTAAATGTGTGCCTAACTATACGTAATGTCTGTACAGTGTTCTGCCTATACTAAAAGATCTTTCAGCAAAGCAGGGATGAGAAACTGACAGATGGCTCCCTCTGTAAAGAACTCTGTGTTGTAAGAGGACCTGTCATGTTATTATGGACAGGATTGGGGTAAGAGGACCTGTCATGTTATTATTAGAGATGAGCGAATTATTCAAAAATTTGATTCGACTGATTCGGCGAATTCGTGGAAAAAATTTGATTCGAGTCGAATTTATTCGCTGCAAATTTAACTTATAAAAGGGTGTTTCTAGGCTTCAGAGAGCCTTTATATTAGTGCAGAACACTGTACCTTTAATTTAAATGCCCTTGGAGTCTGCTGGGGAAGAGAAATAATACTGTCAGTCAGTATGACATGCAGATGAGTGCAGTCGATCTTAGAATCACCGCACACTTCACTCATTTGGGCAGTCACGGGGCCAAAACCAGAGTGTGGAGCCACAGTGTGGCGGTGGAGGCAGCAGCAATGGGAGGCCATACAGCACCCTATGACAAAATGGAACCCAGCAGCAGTGTGAGGAGACCTGAAAGTGGCACATGGCAGAGTGTGGCGATGGAGACAGCAGCAATGGGAGGCCGTACAGGGACCCATGACACACTCTGGACCTGGCAGCAGCATGAGGAGGCGGTACAGGGGCCCATGGCAGATTAGGGGCCTGGCAGCAGCAATGGGAGGCCCGTAATCTGCCAGCACCCTATGACAAAATGGAACCCAGCAGCAGTGTGAGGAGACCTGAAAGTGGCACATGGCAGAGTCTGGCGATGGAGACAGCAGCAATGGGAGGCCGTACAGGGGCCCATGACACACTGTGGACCTGGCAGCAGAATGAGGAGGCGGTACAGGGGCCCATGGCAGATTAGAGCCTGGCAGCAGCAATGGGAGGCCCGTAATCTGCCAGCACCCTATGACAAAATGGAACCCAGCAGCAGTGTGAGGAGACCTGAAAGTGGCACATGGCAGAGTGTGGCGATGGAGACAGCAGCAATGGGAGGCCGTACAGGGACCCATGACACACTGTGGACCTGGCAGCAGCATGAGGAGGCGGTACAGGGGCCCATGGCAGATTACAGGCCTGGCAGCAGCAATGGGAGGCCCGTAATTTGCCAGCACCCTATGACAAAATGGAACCCAGCAGCAGTGTGAGGAGACCTGAAAGTGGCACATGGCAGAGTGTGGCGATGGAGACAGCAGCAATAAGAGGCCGTACAGGGATCCATGACACACTGTGGAACTGGCAGCAGCATGAGGAGGCGGTACAGGGGCCCATGGCAGATTAGGGGCCTGGCAGCAGCAATGGGAGGCCCGTAATCTGCCAGCACCCTATGACAAAATGGAACCCAGCAGCAGTGTGAGGAGACCTGAAAGTGGCACATGGCAGAGTGTGGCGATGGAGACAGCAGCATGAGGAGGCGGTACAGGGGCCCATGGCAGATTAGGAGGGGGCCTGGCAGATTAGGGGCAGCAGCAATGGGAGGCCCGTAATCTGCCAGCACCCTATGACAAAATGGAACCCAGCAGCAGTGTGAGGAGACCTGAAAGTGGCACATGGCAGAGTGTGGCGATGGAGACAGCAGCAATGGGGAGGCCGTACAGGGACCCATGACACACTGTGGACCTGGCAGCAGCATGAGGAGGCGGTACAGGGGACCATGGCAGATTAGGGGCCTAGCAGCAGCAATGGGAGGCCCGTAATCTGCCAGCACCCTATGACAAAATGGAACCCAGCAGCAGTGTGAGGAGGAGACCTGAAAGTGGCACATGGCAGAGTGTGGCGATGGAGACAGCAGCAATGGGAGGCCGTACAGGGACCCATTACACACTGTGGACCTGGCAGCAGCATGAGGAGGCGGTACAGGGGCACATGGAAGATTACAGGCCTGGCAGCAGCAATGGGAGGCCCGTAATCTGCCAGCACCCTATGACAAATTGGAACCCACCAGCAGTGTGAGGAGACCTGAAAGTGGCACATGGCAGAGTGTGGCGATGGAGACAGCAGCAATGGGAGGGCCGTAAAGGGGCCCATGACACACTGTGGACCTGGCAGCAGCATGGAGGCGGGCGGTACAGGGGCCCATGGCAGATTAGGGGCCTGGCAGCAGCAATGGGAGGCCCGTAATCTGCCAGCACCCTATGACAAAATGGAACCCAGCAGCAGTGTGAGGAGACCTGAAAGTGGCACATGGCAGAGTGTGGCGATGGAGACAGCAGCAATGGGAGGCCGTACAGGGACCCATGAGACACTGTGGACCTGGCAGCAGCATGAGGAGGCGGTACAGGGGCCCATGGCAGATTACGGGCCTGGCAGCAGCAATGGGAGGCCCGTAATCTGCCAGCACCCTATGACAAAATGGAACCCAGCAGCAGTGTGAGGAGACCTGAAAGTGGCACATGGCAGAGTGTGGCGATGGAGACAGCAGCAATGGGAGGCCGTACAGGGACCCATGACACACTGTGGACCTGGCAGCAGCATGAGGAGGCGGTACAGGGGCCCATGGCAGATTAGGGGCCTGGCAGCAGCAATGGGAGGCCCGTAATCTGCCAGCACCCTATGACAAAATGGAACCCACCAGCAGTGTGAGGAGACCTGAAAGTGGCACATGGCAGAGTGTGGCGATGGAGACAGCAGCAATGGGAGGCCGTACAGGGACCCATGACACACTGTGGACCTGGCAGCAGCATGAGGAGGAGGTACAGGGGCCCATGGCAGATTACAGGGCCTGGCAGCAGCAATGGGAGGCCCGTAATCTGCCAGCACCCTATGACAAAATGGAACCCAGCAGCAGTGTGAGGAGACCTGAAAGTGGCACATGGCAGAGTGTGTGGCGATGGAGACAGCAGCAATGGGAGGCCGTACAGGGACCCATGACACTGTGGACCTGGCAGCAGCATGAGGAGGCGGTACAGGGGCCCATGGCAGATTAGGGGCCTGACAGCAGCAATGGGAGGCCCATAATCTGCCAGCACCCTATGACAAAATGGACACCACCAGCAGTGTGAGGAGACCTGAAAGTGGCACATGGCAGAGTGTGGCGATGGAGACAGCAGCAATGGGAGGCCGTACAGGGACCCATGACACACTATGGACCTGGCAGCAGCAGCATGAGGAGGCGGTACAGGGGCCCATGGCAGATTAGGGGCCTGGCAGCAGCAATGGGAGGCCCGTAATCTGCCAGCACCCTATGACAAAATGGAACCCACCAGCAGTGTGAGGAGACCTGAAAGTGGCACATGGCAGAGTGTGGCGATGGAGACAGCAGCAATGGGAGGCGGTACAGGGACCCATGACACACTGTGGACCTGGCAGCAGCATGAGGAGGCGGTACAGGGGCCCATGGCAGATTGGCAGGGCCTGGCAGCAGCAATGGGAGGCCCGTAATCTGCCAGCACCCTATGACAAATTGGAACCCACCAGCAGTGTGAGGAGACCTGAAAGTGGCACATGGCAGAGTGTGGCGATGGAGACAGCAGCAGCAAGGGAGGCCGTACAGGGACCCATGACACACTGTGGACCTGGCAGCAGCATGAGGAGGCGGTACAGGGGCCCATGGCAGATTAGGGGCCTGGCAGCAGCAATGGGAGGCCCGTAATCTGCCAGCACCCTATGACAAAATGGAACCCACCAGCAGTGTGAGGAGACCTGAAAGTGGCACATGGCAGAGTGTGGCGATGGAGACAGCAGCATGGGAGGGAGGTGGTACAGGGACCCATGACACACTGTGGACCTGGCAGCAGCATGAGGAGGCGGTACAGGGCCCATGGCAGATAGGGGCCTGGCAGCAGCAATGGGAGGCCCGTAATCTGCCAGCACCCTATGACAAAATGGAATCCACCAGCAGTGTGAGGAGACCTGAAAGTGGCACATGGCAGAGTGTGGCGATGGAGACAGCAGCAATGGGAGGCCGTACAGGGACCCATGACACACTGTGGACCTGGCAGCAGCATGAGGAGGGCGGTACAGGGGCCCATGGCAGATTAGGGGCCTGGCAGCAGCAATGGGAGGCCCGTAATCTGCCAGCACCCTATGACAAAATGGAACCCAGCAGCAGTGTGAGGAGACCTGAAAGTGGCACATGGCAGAGTGTGGCGATGGAGACAGCAGCAATGGGAGGCCGTACAGGGACCCATGACACACTGTGGACCTGGCAGCAGCATGATGAGGAGGCGGTACAGGGGCCCATGGCAGATTAGGGGCCTGGCAGCAGCAATGGGAGGCCCGTAATCTGCCAGCACCCTATGACAAAATGGAACCCAGCAGCAGTGTGAGGAGACCTGAAAGTGGCACATGGCAGAGTGTGGCGATGGAGACAGCAGCAATGGGAGGCCGTACAGGGACCCATGACACACTGTGGACCTGGCAGCAGCATGAGGAGGGCGGTACAGGGGGCCCATGGCAGATTAGGGGCCTGGCAAGCAGCAATGGGAGGCCCGTAATCTGCCAGCACCCTATGACAAAATGGAACCCACCAGCAGTGTGAGGAGACCTGAAAGTGGCACATGGCAGAGTGTGGCGATGGAGACAGCAGCAATGGGAGGCCGTACAGGGACCCATGACACACTGTGGACCTGGCAGCAGCATGAGGAGGAGGGTACAGGGGCCCATGGCAGATTAGGGGCCTGGCAGCAGCAATGGGAGGCCCGTAATCTGCCAGCACCCTATGACAAAAAAATTGGAACCCAGCAGCAGTGTGAGGAGACCTGAAAGTGGCACATAGCAGAGTGTGGCGATGGAGACAGCAGCAATGGGAGGCCGTACAGGGACCCATGACACACTGTGGACCTGGCAGCAGCATGAGGAGGCGGTACAGGGGCCCATGGCAGATTAGGGGCCTGGCAGCAGCAATGGGAGGCCCATAATCTGCCAGCACCCTATGACAAAATGGACACCAGCAGTGCAGTGTGAGGAGACCTGAGCAATGGGAGGCGGTACAGGGACCCATGACACACTGTGGACCTGGCAGCAGCATGAGGAGGCGGTACAGGGGACCATGGCAGATTACAGGCCT